AAGAGGTCAGATAAGAAAAAAAGTCCTAAGAACACTGAGCCAGACCATTCATACCACTTCAGTGTTTGAATGACTTAAAATCATCTGATTAATCCAAGTTTTACTCACACATTGTCAAAGCTAATTTATACCTGTAGGAACTAAGTTTTCCACTGAATGTTTTAACTCATTGTAATGTCTTCTACTCTGCGTTACTATCCTTCAAGTCCTTAAAATATTCTTATCTTTCGGACATCCCTGAATGTATCTACTTCATCATCTGTTGCCTTGTTGAAATACGAGCTTTTCTAACACTGTTACCAATCAGTTTTGCTGCTTTTTAATTTTATTAAAGAGAATGTAAAGCCAGTCTTTTGTAAACATGTAATCATATTTGGAATTTAAAAATGCAGGGAAGAAAAACAAAGAGGGAAGAAACAGAATAGTGATGAATGGCAAGCGGCTGATGGAAAAGAGGATGAGGGAGAAATAAGTAACTATGAAGATATTTCTGTTATAGCCTGTGCCAATAAAGTATTTAACTTCTAATAAGTCAAGCAACAGTGACGAAGGGGGTTTTTCTTCCTGTTCTTTACTCAATTGTCAGTAATCCCAGAGCACTAACCCATGCCAAAATGTAAATCAGGATTTATGTTAGTTAGGCATTATTAAAAAGGTAACAAGAAGGCAGCAAAAAAAAAAAAAAAAAAAATGCCCTTTCCCCCATCTCAGTAATTTTTTGCCTTTAAATTATCCTCCTTTTTGTCATTCTGCAGAAATTACAAATCATTTGGCAGTAAATTTAAATAAGAATTGTAAATTGAGTTGCTATTATGATTGTAATGCCAGCCCTGTCTCCATGAACAAAGTAAACATTGGGCATTTTAAGAATATTAAGAACATATTAAGAATAATGTGTACTGAAAAAAACCACAGTATTTGACAAGGCTTGAAGACGAAGACTGCTAGTCGTGAATTGCATATGTTTTAAATATAGATGGTGGGATGACACTAAAGCCAGGGGTTTTTTCCCCTGTTTGTAAGAGCTTCTAAAGGAAATTGCTACACCTGAGACAATTGCTCAGCATTATAATATTATCAGCACATTACAGTCAGAGGGAATTCTGACTGTACTTGCATCTTCCTTTTTACCTTTGCATTTTGTTGCTTTGGTATAGGGAAGACATTAAACACAGGCTGGTTGGGATTTGGGTTTGTGGTTTTGGTGGTGGTGATTTTGTTTGTTTGTTCTGTTGTGGGTTTGGGGGTTTTGTTTGTTTGCTTTTCTTTTTAAACAGCAGTCTTCATTATCTTAGGAGAAAGCTTGGCCCCACTAAAACCAATAGAGATACCAGTGAAACCCACTGAAAGTTCACAATTTACATCCATTTCAATCAATAAAGTGATTTATCAATCAACTTTCTTACAGACAGCCTGTGAGTAATTGTAAAGGGAATCCCATTGTAGTGCCAAATGAGCTATACCATACATCTGGGGATAATTTGAGTCAAAAAATTATTTTAAAGCTGAGTGAAAGCACCTTTCTTTATAGAAAAATGAGCTAATTTAAGCAGTTACTTAGGACAGACTATTAGAAACGTCTCTTCTGCAAGCTTAACATGGATCCACACATTACAGAACCGCTAGGAGCTTTAACAGATACAATTAGGTGAGAGGTTTTGTTAGGATATCAAGTATATTCATACCAGTTTGTTTTAAAAAGCCTTCACAAAAAGAAGCAAAGCTGAAGGGGTGCCTAAAGAAATTATGGTTCCAACATCTCATGTGGCTGGGGTTTAAAAACCCATGATAGAAGTGAAATGTATCCAATATTTTAGAAGACATGACCTCACATTAATCTGCAGAGTAAGAGAAGATGGCAGCCCTTTTTACTATTATTCATCTTGCTGAGATTGCACCCCAAAAGTTTAAGGGACAGATATAAGCTTTAGAGTATTTAAATTCGCAGTTGAGCAATAGTAAGGTATTTGCTACAATTAAGCACGTGCCTAATACGTGACTTTCACAAATACTATTTTACAAGATTCATAATACTAAATATGTAACTATGAAGTCTTTGGCTAATTTGTGCTACAGAAAGATAAAACGTTCAACCTACATACACCAGAAGTCTTATAGATGTTGAACACATTTCACTATAAACACTATGTTCGGCTTATCAATAGCTGGACTGTAAAGTGGAGAGTTTTTGTGGTGGTTTTTTTTTTTAATTTTTTCCTTTTTTTTACCTCTACAAGTTCCTAATTGAAAAGTATACTTAAAGTAACTTCTTGTTTAACAGCTAAGGAAAACAGGCATTCAAAGAAACAAAAAAGCAATTTAAACTGAAACCCAAAAATTTTAGCATCAATAACTGCAACTGAAAATTACGCTTATGATGTTAAGAAGAGCCTATGTGTATGGCATAAAGCATTTGGATTTCCTTATAGATTGTTATCTTACCAAAATGGAGAAGGGTAGGGTAATTTCCTGACACGTAAGAAGGGAAACATGGCAAACAGGATAGGAAACAAAATCTGGAAAGAAAAGTCAAGGAGAGGAATGTCTAGAAAAAGATTCTGAACAAAAAAATTATTTTACAAAGCAGGAAAAAAGAAACATTTGTAGAAGAAACAGAATCCCTTTACACATTCAGCATGCTAGTATTACAGCTTTAGTCTTTTACAGTACTTTAATTCTAACCGAACAGAGAAACATTTATGCAATTTTTTAAATAAAGCTTTAAGAGGAGGTATTTCAACATGATCAATGTTTCTGAATGTTGTTGAGTATTTGTCCTTATCTGATGGCTGGGGGCCTAATTTTGGTCTGGGTTGGGTTGTTTTTTCCTACAGATACAGAATATTTACAGCTTTTCTTTAGGCTAAACTGAAGGTGGCTGAACCCACACCACACTTCATGGTCAAACTAAGTTGCAAAAAAATTAACCCATACTTAAAGAAATCCGTTTTCTAAAAATTCATTCACTTCAGGATCTCAAGCTAAAGGGGGAGGGGGAGGAAAAAAAGAAAGAGACCCTGGTAACAGAGTTGCCAACCCTAGCCATGCATTTTTCCCCATGTTTGAGTATCTAATCTAGTTCTTGTAAGATTAAACAATCTTAAACTTTATATAAGGACCCAACATCTTTGAGTTTTATATAGCATTAGCTGCTGCATGGAGTATTATGTCTTTAACAGTAGAATGCATACAGAGACATAAAGCATGAGATGCATTATATTTTACTGGCAGGAGTTTGGACTAGACCCCTTTCACAAAAGCAGTAAAACTACAAGTTACTTATGCAGATAGTTTCAAACGAGGGCAATTTTACACAACAGAGGACTTTTGAAACTTTCCTCAAATCGCAGCTCCTTGACGCCGCCAATGCTGCATCCCCACATGGACTGCCTGAGCCTCCTTTGCTTGCTCTGCACCGAACAAGGACCACTGAACAGACCTCACCCACTAGTTCCCCACTGCCGCCCCCTGCCCCACCTAGGTAATAAAATATTGAATTTCTCTGTGAGCCTGTAAAGTCTTATGTCATCAAATAGGAATTCATAGATTTTTTTTTAAATCTGTATTTATGAATAACTAATATCACAGCTACTAAGTTGGCACTCTGGTTATTAAAGATGTCAAGATAATCGCACCTAAAGAAAAAGTTCCATCTGTTTTCATGGGGAGCTTTTTCCTGGAGACAAATGAGACTATGCTATACAGTAACACACCTAGCATAATCCTAGAGAAAGACATCTGAGTAGAAGGACAAGGCTTACATTTTTAAGGCTAGGTTGTGCATCGCTCTTTCATCTCTCAGCTTACTTTGGCCTGAAAGTGTTTCTTCCGTACCCTCACTCAAACTCATCTTTAAATACAGGCAACAGTTAAACTGCCAATTCAAAACCTTTAAAACGAGGCATATCACAGCATACGCATAGATTTTACTGGGGAATAAAAGAACTAACTTACAAATACTTTAGGGTATTGATAAGTAACACTGATAGTATTTGTTAAAATATCCAGAATATTTTAATACCTACTGAAGTCCAGCTTTTTGTGGTTCAGAAAAATAACTTCTGTATTAAAAACATACATGAACTAACCTTTCCTCATACAAAGCATTCAAGCTTAGAAGCACATTTTTAAATGTCTAATGGAAAAAATCAGGAGTACTACTTTCTATTCATAAACTGCTTCAGTTTTTTAATGTGTCATTTTTATCTTGCAGATGAATTTATTACACCTCAGGATCAACTATTCTACAACCTGAGTATCATAATTGGCCTTAAAAAAACCCAAACAAGTTATACTACAATTTCAAAACTTCTTATAACTAAAACCTCTTGAGATGAAAGGTTGCATTTGAGATACTCAAGCCAAACACTGCAGGTACAATTCACTAAAGCTTTTCCTGCAGTGGTTAGTCATACAATAAAAATATGCCCACAGCAGATGATCCCTGCCTAAGAGGCACACAGAGGACTGCAATCAGTTGCACTGTCAAGTAAAGGACAAAATGTAACTATATAATAGCTCGGAGAGCCTGATCATCAATGTGGGTGCTTTAACCAGTATCAGGGTTTTTACTGGACAAATTTAGATTTAAAGAGATGCCAGGATTGGCTCAAGGTGCATTAAGCAAAGCCATAGGCATGAAATTCAAATGTACATTCAAATGTACAATATAGCATGCTGGCCCAAATTTAAGGAATGAAAAGTCATGATCTAGAACAGCTATGAACTTAATCACAGAACGCTGAAGGTAATGGTATTATTAAAAATATGCAAGTTAGCTAGAAAAGCAAAAATTATCTGAAATGCAAGAGCAGAACAAACAGAACCAGTCAGTAAGAAAAACAATTTCATAAAAACGCAAGATAAAAGTGACAGCAACAAAACATGCTTTCAAATTAGAAGAACAAACCATTACCTGTGTTCCTCCCTTCCTATCATCTATTACAACACTGAGCTCATCAACTACCTCCAAATAGCCTACTGACATCTGTTCATCGCTTGTTGACTCTTACCTTCAGCTACCTACAGCAGTTCTAAAAAAACAGACTTTCTACTGAACAGGCATAATTGCACTCTGTGGCATTTTGAGTAAATTACTTTAAAAGCTTATTCTAGTCCTGTAAAATACTGCAATCCAAACAGAAAGACCCAACAGAACTTTTTATTCTTTTCTTACCTGATTCTTTAGAGCTCTTTACCACAAGTGAATCTACCTCTACTGATTTTGGTCTAAGCGGTAATGGTTCAGAGTCTAACTTTGGTTTTGCTACTGGCTCAACTTCAGATTTTGGTCGAAGAGAAACAACTTCTCCATTAGATCTGTAGTAAGAAAAAAACCAAGATGACATACCTAGTCAAGAGATTAAATAGTTTACAACTGAAACATACCAAGAATTAGAAGTAAATGGAAAAATTTCAGTGTAGTTTTCTAAAGCCTTGCTTAAAATCAAGTCTTTTGGAAAGCAATTCTACTCCTATAAAAGCCAATTCTTCTGTTCCAGCTCTTGCAGAGTTGTCAAACACGTACAATCCCCTTGTGAAAATAATCCCAAACTTTTACTACACGGCACATTTTGGCACTTTAAATCTAAAATATTACACTTCAGTGCAACAGAAATCAAGAGAGCTGAACAGCACCTTCAGTAATATCTCCTGAAATATTCAGAAAAATACTCAGACTCCTTGACATCAAAATCTTCCTGTAAAGACAAAAGCTGCCAAGAACAAGTCATTTCCTTCTGGGTATAGAATAGAGTACCTTGTATATATGGCTTTTATTCTACCATGTATTCTTTGCATGTCTGGTCACATCATCCAGGGGCAAAAAAAAAAAAAAACGCAAACAAAAAACACCCCACCAAACAAAACAACAACAAAAAAGAACAGATGACATTTTCCTTTACAGTTTTTGCCATCATTTATGCCACAGCATAAAAATAAAGTATACAAATGGACTAGTTGTCAGCTTCAATGTGTCCCTGTCATCAACTCATCTCCCAAATCCTTTATTTAGAAGTTTTATTGCAGTAGAACAAGAGATAGTAGCCTTATCTTTCTAGAGCAATGTTAAACTTTCAGACATTTAAACATATTTAAATACCCCTAAGATTTGAAGTTTTCAATTATTAAAGGTCCACAGTTTACTACAGACCTCTATTTAACTGCACGTGTATCCCTTTATATCCATAATTATATTCTAAAATGGGGGAGGGGAACATGACTTGTGGTTTTAAAAAAAATAAATAAATCTTTACTTGGGAAACACTCCGGAATACCAAGTGATATAACACAATTACCTAAACAGAAGTAAAGTGGCAATGGTCTAACTCTTCAGTCAGGCATCCAATGTTCCCAGGGCTGTGCAGGGTGGGATCAGAGGCAGTTCTGCCTAGATTGAACTCTGTTGGAGTCAACCGTCTACAGTGTGTGCCTTACCCACACTCCCTTTCCCCATTGCCCTCCCTCCTCACTGTTTTCTCCCTTTAGATATTCTTCCTTTTGGTTCAGCTACAGAGGACCTGCTGTAAAAAAAGATAAACCTTGACAAATGCTTGCTGCCACCCTGTATCTTTGCAGGTATTTAAGGTGCAAGCTCTTCGATGTAGCAGCTGTCTGCTCCTTTATTTGTACAAGGCCAAGTGCACCATGACTTTACTTTCTCATGGTTCTTTCAAGTCAACTAAACATCCCAAAGGGACAGTTACCCATCAGCAGTTTATTTACAGTTTTGGGCAAGGACCTAGCAAATACTTTGATGGAGACAGAAAGGGAAACTGTGCAGGGGGGGGTTGTATTGATGGAAAATTAGTCTTAAGTGAAACACTGTAAGCAATTGTTTCAAACTCATGAGAAAAAAAAAAATTTAAAAGTGGATCTAAAAGAAATGGTGAGCGATTACTTGGTATTACCCTCCCTATTTGTCCAGTAACTCAACTGAGAATACTCAAGACAGTATAGAGACTGGGTGTGGTTCTGTAATAAGTGCTTTCTTCCCCAGAAGAGCACACGAGCAACACCGAGTACCTTTAGCACAGGTACTAATTGCGCTCAACTCTTCCTTCCCATCTATCTTATTCTATATAAAGTGCTGAAACATTGAACATTGATGCAGCTCAAATCTTCATGTTTTTTCCAAGACAATAATAATTGTCAAGTGCCATGCCCACAGATTCTTTTACACCACACTGCTACTGTAGCTACAACTTCTTCATTATGGGGCAGGCTTAAAGCAAAGCAGCCCACGGATTTGTAACTTCATCTGCCCCACAGTAAGTTACATTGTAATATTTACTCTGAGATGGATTCAATGTCTCAAAGAATTAGAAAGTTTTTAGTTCACATTGATAAAGACTTGGAGAACCAAGACACTGGTAGGTGTAGGGCAAAACTTATCCTCGCATCCTTTTCACTCTTAAACACACGTTTCTTCCCACCTCATCCACGAAGGAAGATCAAACAACAAACCAAATAAAATATACTTGGTGTATACGATTTAAGTTATACTGACTTGGATACAGATGATGGCAAAACAGGTTTATCTGGACGTCTTGGGTGCAGAAGCCCTGCTCTCAGTAAGCTGTTAGTCTTGCTTGGAGGAATAGGCTTCTTGGGTGGTACTTGAGGAGCCTGTGGCTTCAAAGGCTTCTGATCCACAGCTCCTTTGTCATCTGACAAAATAAATCACCATAACATTTTAAAAACCCATGTTGTCTAGAATTCTTACAATGCTAATCAATTAGAAAGCAACTACTGTCAGAAATACTTTCTTTGAAGATCAAAGTGAAAAATAGATATGCAAGTGTCTTAAGTGATAACTTATCCAAACACACAAGCTACTTGCCTGAACTTAAAAAACATTATGTTAAAGTAAGCAAAATGTCCTTCTACTGACATGAAACAGTAGTAAGAAATTATGGATTCACATTATTGCACTGCAAATGACAGCTAAGAACCAAGAATCTCTCTGTACTGCTACTGTTTTCCCTTTTCTATGAATTCACCTTATCTCCTCTTAAAAAGGTAGAGTTTGTTTTTTTATTTTGTGGTAACTAGACTTCTTCCATACACACAAGCAGCATAATTTATCTATGGAAAAAAGGGGAGAAAAATGAATATTTATCTGAATAACTGAATTTATTTTAGATAAAGTCTACTTTCCTACAAATTCAAGATACAAATTGAGTATGGATAATCAAACAAAAAAAAAAAAGTATTGTTCAATGACTGCATGACTAACTGAATACTGTCCAGAGGAGCTGACATATAACATATGGGACACTGAAAAATTCAAGCTGCTTCACAAATGTTAGTTGAATAGTCTTCAACCCATGTCCCTAATCACACCCTGTGGGATATCCAGGGCATACCTTCTACTTCTACCTTGTGAAACTATGCTACAGCTCAGTCAGGCATGCATAAAGTACTAAGGGTTTAAAAGATTATTGTTAGGTTACAGTAAAGAGTTGCAGTTCTTTACAGTTATTGCCCTTACCGGGCAGTAAATCAGTAAACTGGGATGGAGAGACTGACCTTCAGCTTTGATTCTCCCCATCCTCCCCTCCTATGACTTTGCTTTTAACCAAGTATTGGTCTAACGTAAAATGTTTCGACATGCTATGGATTTGGGGGTAGGGTTGGAAATTTGCTTCAGCTCCATCCCAGCTAAGTGCCTGAACCGCCAGGTCTATGACTGACTTCTTTTGGACAAGTCCTGCAGCCGTTGAGTGTCAGCCCTCCAACCGTAAAATGGGGAAAAAAACCTATTTTCTTTCACAGGAATACTTGGAAGTAAACAGATCAGAGATACTTCTGCAAAAAAAGCATTCCAGGGCAGAATTGTTTTCCTGCTTTGGGACATTTGAACATTAGGAGGACATACGAAGAAAAAACCTAAACTGGTTGGCATCCCCTTCCAGCGTCTCTTACTATTGAGTTAAAAAAAAATACAATGCTGAAGTAGTGGAAGGATTTTGCCACATGGTGGTGCTGACCGTCCTGTGTAAAACAGCCTGTTAACAGTGCTAGCCACTTCTGCCTACTGATCCTATACGCAAGATTTAAATTTTAAATGCCCAACAGCAGTTAGTGTTACTGAAGATCAATTAGCTTTATTTTAGCTATGCTGAACACAAGTTGAGAATTACGCCTTTTGTTTTTAAGAATAAGTGAGTTCATAAACAGGGCAGAAAAAATGCTGTCATCAAATCGTACTCCTGAATTATCATCTGTCAGTCTTCCCTTCAATTACGCCCACTCAAAATCTGAATATAAAAATCGTCCACAGCTAAGTGGAAAAAGTTAATACCAAAGGTCAACATTCACCACCAGCACAGAAATCGGACAATTCTGCTGGACAAAACGGCATGCCTCTTTTTTGGCTTTTGCTCCGCAATGAAAAAGATACGGCTTGGCTAAAAATGAGCAGTTTAATAATGGAAATAAAAATACTAATCTGAAGACATTTACACCGGACAAAAATTTCTACATGATACTGCTAAGTATCCTTCACTACAAATACAGAAATACTTATAGGAGTATTGCTTTTAATTTTTTAGCAATTTTTGATTGCAATTAAATGCAGATTTATTAGTCTACCAATAGGCATAAAAAATTACATAGTTTGATAGCTTGTTATTACAGCTGCTCAATTAGTACTTTTTTTTACCTAATCACAGTACAGTTTCATACTTAATGAATTTAATCACTACTATCAACATGGTTATTTTTCCACAAATAAAACTGCAGTGATACATGGGCATTTCTTCCAGTAAAACACTACTGCTATCTAAATAAGCAAGTTTTAAGATCTGACCTTCAACTGAATACAAGACAAACTTTTCCTCTATCGTTTTCTGTACCACAGCAAAGGACGGTTCTCCACCTTACTTAATTTTTCAGAAGCTTTTATGTTCCTAAGCGTATTGGATGGTGTCACCCAATTTTTTTTTCCTATATTCCTCCACAAACAGTTGAACTCAACTATGCAAAGGTTAACAACATAGTACAAACAGAACCAGCCTAAAATTAAACTCACTTTAGTTTAAATAAACTTAAACTTATAAAGAGCCAAGTGATCAAAATTTCTAGAATCATACAGTTGACCTCAATTCACATCTTGAAGATACTGTTCCAACAGATAAAAATAATTTGTTTGCTCACATGCAGAGGAAACACAGCTGATTTTAACAAGTATTCTTCATATGAAACACCTGAGAATGTGCTTTATTTAAAATGTCGGTTATAAAAACTGCCCAAGGAAGCCAGGAAACCCATCGAGCAGGCTTACTTGTCGAAATGCTGTTTAGCCATGGTCAGCCACAGCTCACTGTTCACAGAACAGAGTATGTTTTTGTAATATGGTTAAGCTGCAGTAACATCAGAATTTCTTCTTTAAGACCCAACCAGCATGTTTGTTTAAGCTTCTGACTTTTAAGCACAATCAAAACAGTTTAACAGTTTGACTTGGCAAGTTTTTCAAATATGAAAAGAAGCCTTTTAGAAATGTGTTTGGGTGACAACAGTAGCTTTTCTTCTTAAAGAAAGGTGTCCTTTAAATTTTAAGAATAAAGTGGTAAACATTTCCAAATTCTGTGGAAAGCATGGAATATAGCAAGAATTAACAGGACAAGAGATCTCAATTTCTGAGCATTGTGACTGTAACATCTGTCTAAGGAGTGTTGTAACTGTTCCATATTATTTCTTCCAAAAATATTTTCCATCAGAGACTGATTTTGGCGAACACATTCAGAAAAGGCAGCAAACGTTTTCATTTCTAATAACTTACTATTGCTATTCAAAACTGCAGTCACTATCACAGAACTATACTTAAATGAATTCAATAGTTACTATGTTATTATGCAGTGCAATCAACATTTTTCAGAACGTAATGCAATAACGAGAAATACACATTTCATAGAAGCGTAGTTCTTCTAATCACTCTAAAGACATTTCCATAACATCACAGACACGACAACTTCAGTAGATGGTATCAAGAGAATCTGTATGATGTCTTCCAAACAGGCACCTGTTGCACAGAGCAGCCAAGCTAAAAATTGTAACTCGTTTACAAAAGCATAGTCTGAAATTCACTATGAATTAGTCTCACCTTTTTCTTCAGGCCTCAAAGAAGGGAACTTCTTCTCTCCAGTTGGCAATTCAGGCTTTGGAGCTGAATGCAAAAACAAACCATAGGCATTTCTCAAAAAGCCTTCATTATCTTAGTCACTAACTAAAAATATGACATACACCAATTTGTGTTTATATTTTCTCCTTTGCAAGGAGTGTAATACCATTTATAAACACTCATTTGAGTCCGGCAAACTGTAGACCTGCATTAAAATGTTTCCAAAGTAGGCTGCATCATAATTTTGAAAAATATATAGCAGCAGCATAATACATAAAGCATAAAAAGTAACCTCAAACTGTGGCTATAGGTGGCTGCATTACTAGGAAATACAAAGCCACTTCTGAATTTTTCTTTTGAAGTCATGCACTGCTTCTGAAATTTAGTATTTCCTCAGACACGTCCCACCATACATATACTACATACCTGGACTTTTTACTGGAGGTGGAGGTTTCTTTGGCTTCTGCAAAGTGAAAAAAGTCAAATAAATAAACAAACAGATATTCTCTATCAAAGACAGACTTATTTGTGTTCTGTTTTGCATACTGTAATGTCTAGCTTGTTTACTAGCTGATTTCAAAGTATTTCACAAAGGAGGCGATCAATTCACAGACAGAAAACACAGAGAACTGGAGTAATTCCTCTGATAGCTCCCAGACAACCAGTTGCAAAAGCAGGAACAAAATGCAGGTTTCTTCAAATCGGATCAGTCCTTCAGCAATGCGCATAAGCAGAGAGGCACAAAGAACTAAAACCTAAGAATTACATCTTTTCTAGTCCAAAGAATTGCTCTGATTGCACCCATTTTAATTTCAATATGTAAACCTCAATCTTACTTAGAACAATGCAAGTTTAAAAGTGTAACCAGGTAAATTTTTGAACCAAAAATGGTCACTTTCACTAAAAAAAAATGGTTTTAAATTAAGTATCAGAAGAACTATTTCAATTAATTGACTTCTAAATTACAACAATGTAAAAAAAAAAAAGCTAGCAGCATTTGCAACAAACACTGCAGTTACATGAAAAACATTGTTTTGAATTTCCTTATCACTGTATATTTAAGTGGGAAAGGTGGACAAACTACTCTAGCCATTAAAAATCCATGAAGTATTACGGTGCCACAGTTTTTACATTGAAAAGAACTCTATTTTAAAACACAGTCACTCATCACTTTCCTTAAACTGGTAAAATCGAATTTGACTCTCTCTCCTGTTGAAGGAGTACCGGCACCTCTCAGAACAGACATCTCAAGCCATCTCATCTTCAGAATCTGATTCATGAAAATGCTCTAAAAGAGGCGTCATTGTGGTTGTACTAAGGACAAGACTCACTAATAAAACGATCACAAAAGCCTACAAAAACACTTGCTCTTTATACAAACACTGCTGAAACCATATGGGCTCCGTCTAATATAGTCCCTCCAAAAATGCCTTGTAGTGGGTATTTTTGAAACAGTTGCTATGGATGAATTTCACTTCTGTGTCCCTACCGCTATGGAATAAGCACCTCTTAATGCAGAAAGATTTTATTCTGACAAGTGAAATGTAATTAAGCAAGCATGAAAACCCGTATTACATTTCTTTTTCTAGTTTCAGAGAACAGAAAAGCTACTTAAGTAACAAGACTGTATTTTCTTTCTTTCCCAAAAAAGCAAATACATTATCCAGCTGTGCAGTACTGCTGCCTATATCAAAAACAATTACACTGAGAGTTCAGCATCAACTTGCCATTATGTGATTTTGATCTATGTTTTTATTAAGTCGATATCAAATAGCTGATTACAATAATCAGCCATCCAATGCTTTCAACTTCAAAACTACTCAGTGCGAGGTGCATCCCTGTACTGAGACACACTACACAAAGCAGAATAAAGGATCAAAGCAAAGTCTGTCTACAGGAAACATTATTTACGGTAAAAGAGTAATTTTTTTCCCCTCTCTCAAGGGCGCAGTTCTGTATTGTGAAACCCACCCACCGCTCAAATCAAGTCAGCCATATGTTACGGCACTTATACCATCCTTGCAAAGCTGAGATCAATTGGAAAAGAAAACACTGACTTGGAGTAACTACACTTTCTGTGTATGTTAGGTAACTGAGGTTAAATGCTAAGTTAATAAATATCTGTCAGGTTATATCTAGCAATCCTCTGTGAAAGTCTCCAATTCCAGACCAAATGGCACTAAATTACTATGAAACTCTGCAACCCCGTTCTGCTGAGATCCAGGCTTCAACATTTAGATGTCCCGATCTGGAGCCGAACCCGTCCCATCTGGGGATGACGTACATTTGTGAATTAACACAACCATCTTTGCTACACAAACTTGTCAGAACCAAAACATCACACTAATTTCAACAAAAAAATTATAAAATAAGAACCAAAATTACAAGACCAAGGAGTACCACATGAAAACATGAATTTCTACAAGTTAGTACACGAGATGGTGAAAAAAATATTTCTAGATCCCACCCAAAAATTAACCTTCATGCACTGCAACCTACTTGCAAGTCTTAACGTGGAAAAATCCCAGTCGGTCCCACAGGGGTCATTCAGCATTTTGCAATTATAGTTACTTGCAGGACTACAGATGCAAGAGACTGACTGCTTATCTCCTTTCAAATCAGTAAGGGTTTCAGTAATCAGTTACACGTAACACCATGTTATCAGAACTATATCCTTTTCTGTATGACCTAATCATCCTCGTTAATTACAGTTAGTCTCAAAAAGCATGCCTCAGTTTAATATTTAAGGAGAAGTTTAAAAATTGCCACAATAGTAATAATATTTTAAGCAGCATAATGTGCTGTGAAGTCTTTTAGTCCTTGCATTTCCATCAATACTTTTTTGTGAAACTAAATGATACACTTAAGAACTTACAGGAAAGTCTTTATCAGACTCTTGTATTTGAACAGCAAAATTATCTGGGAAGACTCCTTCTTTACCATTGAGTTCTCCTTTCCACCAGCCTGGCTCTCCAGTGTCCTAAAATAAACAATAGGACATTTCAATCAATATTTACTTCTTCCCCAGAAGAAATACAGTTACAGGAACAATGTTTTTGCTTTTACCCACAATATAAAATAACTGTTTGTCTGAAATGTCGCATTTATAGGAGGAATACTTTGGCCACCTTAGCAAAGGGAAACAGCTACAGATCAGATCAGGTTTGCTCACTTTTTGTTTGTTTCCTAAAAAGGAGGATGAAATGATATTACGTCTTATATAAGATATGAGTATAAGGATAATATTCGCAGAGGGAAGGAAAGTACATAAACCCAGTTATGACCCAATGCACAATGTTCAATGTTCCTACGTCTTGTATAAGATAAGAGTATAAGGATAATATTCACAGAGGGAAGGAAAGTACATAAACCCACTTATGACCCAATGCACAATGTTCAATGTTCTCAACTCCTTTGACCAGCAACTTATTCAGTAAATACTTCCAAGTGTCATTGGAGTAACACACATTTCTACTAAATAAAAGTGATTCTGATGTGATTGATCAGATCCACCGGTCTGAAAAGGGTGAAGAAGCAAGAGGATACACCCTACTAAGGAAAAAAAGAAAAAAAAGGAGAATTAATTCAGTGGCACAGAAATCCATTACATGATCTTACTGATCAAGGCCTTAGTTTGCCTATAACAGAAAGTATGATGTTATTTGAATATTTTAGCAGCATAAATAACAGCCTTCCTCTGTGCCTCAGATCCAAAATACTGCAGATGTCACTCTTGCATACAAGTCCAAGTGGATTACTGCTGATACGTGCCACTGTCAGCAGCACCAAGTAGTTCATCCTAAAGTTCAGTACACAATAAGGACAATGCAGCACTCAGTTCAGCTGAGACACTGAACAGGCAAAGGAGAGGGGGAAAAATAAAATATAAAATAAAATAATTAAAAAAAAATCCCACCCTACATTAAACTAAAGGAGGAATCGGCAGGAAAAAGACCTCAACAGGTGATTAGTGACGAAAGTAAAAGTTTGCTAAAGTTTTCTTTCATTTCTCCCTCTATCACTCTTTTAATTAGTACTGCAGAGTCCAATTTCTGAACAGTGTGCAGTCTTGAATGGGATAAAGCATCTATTGCTAAATTTCATTTAGACAGTGCCGAGGCATGCTAGCAAGTCAGAGACAACTCCATGGAAAACAGTCATATGCAGAACAAACAGAAAAGAAATGGCTGAGGAGGACAGGCTTTATATGAAGTGAATGTGCTAGAAGAAAATACCTTAACACTTGCAAGATCAAAACCCTGGACTGAGTCAGACACCTGACAGTTAAATTAATATACTCAAACTCCAGAAGATGGTTTCAGAGGGAGAGTTCTGCTCTGGATAACTCTTCTTTGTTCCATTTTGGACCAGGGTATGCTTTGGATAAATAAGTTTAAAAAGGACAGAGAGGCAAGGGATACAGTTAGGATAATACCCTGGGTAAGGGCAAGGGCTGTCGTGTTTAAAAATGTGCCTTCCATAACTACTCTTTTCCACTGTAATTACAGTCAATAATACTGATAATATCAATTTTCTTGTTAAGAAAAGTGGCGATTTTTTTCATAAACTAAAATCTTGCTAAAGAAACAAAGTGTTACTTTTCTTCTGCAGCTATGTGGAAGCTGAAAACAAAACAAACAAAAAAAACCAAACAAAAAAAGAAACTGTCCACTTTTTTTAGGCAAGTCATTATTCCTTAATATAGCAGAATCTAAACAGTAACTAACAAAAGACTGCAGAGTACTGCAGGAAAATCAAATATGGGTAGGTTCATTTCTTTTTAAAAACCATCTCTGTAACAAGATGACCTTTCAAAAAGGTGTTTTCAATATTCAACACAAATAGAAATATTCAACTAAATTATCATCTTTCTCTAAATAGCCAGACAGTACCACTAACTTCTGTATAGCTATTCTGAAGTACCAAGTGTCTCTAACACCTGGACTTCATTCTCCTACTGAAAATATTTACTCAATTTTTTTCGTAATACCTAGATCAAAATCAGCAAGTACAGATCTTAATTTCTCACCTTTTGACACAATAATACTTTCCAACCACCACCTCTAGATCAGCCTGATATATCACGAGAGAAAAAGTACAAGTTCTGAAGGTAAAAGGGCTATTTGCAAAGCTTTTCCAATTTCCTCACTGAAAAGGCACTTGGTACTGGGTGTATACTGATCCTACTGGCCTTTGAGGAATCTAAGGTAACTTCCCACTCTGGAACAATCTTTAAGGACATTTGTATCTCCACCGAGTGCAGAAGCAAAGAGTTGACCCTCACATGAGACAAATCAGTCTATGGGAATATCCACTCCAACAGACTCCCCTGCTTTCACATTTTACACATTACCTACCTGTACAAAACCCACAAAAGCTATATAAATGGTTAAAGCAGACCAAATATCTTACCTTACTGATTATTTGAATGATCTCGCCTTCTTTAAAGCTGAGTTCATCATTTGAGCCTTCATAGGAAAATATTGTCCTGCAATATTCCTTGGCTGAAACAAAGCAGCACAATTACTACACTTGCATACCATGGGTAGTAACAACATAATACCAGCTCACTTGTGCTGTCTGAAAGGAGGGCTCAGAGATTATCAATATAATCATACTTCGCTTCTAGACCAGACATCTGAGACCGCTTTGCAAATGTTCACTATGTCATTCATATCACAAGAAAAATAAGATTATATATTTACAGAGCAATGGAGATAAATCTTTGTGAAGTCAGTAGTTTAAGCTCTAAAACATTTTTTCCACAACAGCAACTTAATTCAAGTACTCTGACTTCAGAGGGGGAAGAGAGGAGCCTGCTCAGTTAAAATTCTAACAGCCTATCTAACCCTCCCCATAGCATTATATATTCAGTTTTGAGCTACTTTAGGCAAAAAAGCTTTCAAGCTTTTTATTGAGAATTTATATGATATTTTCTCAAAATTGATCTAAATTTCAAATTTGCAATCCTAATTAAATACACGCAATTGTTTCAAGGTGACATCCTTCATTAACACGTACAATTACAGAAACTTCAAATATCCAAGCAGCATATTTGCTGAAATTCTGCACTGAAATCAAGTAACTGAAGCAAAAGAATTCCTTGGCTAAGCACCTGAAACCAGAGCTCATCTGAATGATCAACTCAGTCACAGCCTCTTCTGCAAAAAGTAGAAAGAATAATTCCTTTTTTTCCATTTGGTATAGTCCAATAACTAATCCATTTAAAATTGTGATAACAATTTCAGGTAAAAAAGCAGGAGGATTTGTTTTCCTTTCCCATGCTAGAACAAAAACAACATGAGAAAGGCCAAAATACATTAATATAGAACTCTTGATTGCAAAGCATTTTTTGCACCTTTTTTAACCCCAGCACATTTAAAATTATTTAGCAGATAAAACGGCTGAATTTCTGTATCTGACAGATTAAGGAAGAGGAAGCAAACAAAATGGACTCTAATGTGCTGCCATAACCTATCAGGTATGGCACAAGTGAGCAGCTGCATCAACCCTCAATTAGATAACAGCACAACATCAAGTCACCATTAGGACCATCTGCAAGTCAGCTTGTTAATGACTGCCTTTTGCTGGATGGTAAGAAAATAAATGAGTGAGTTGCAGTTGAATTTTTTGTTGTTGTTGTATTTGGTTTAATCAAGATATAAGTCTGTAGTTAAAAGAATGCACAAATTGTATTCTTAAAAAAAAAATCTACCTTGGGTCAGTGCCAACCGCTTAAAATGCAGAAGTATGCCAAGCTTAACAGATAGATATATACAGATACACATAGATATGTAACCACATGAGTAGTCCTAGGTACAAGAACTTGCATTATTTTACTGCCTTATCTAGTGATCAAAAATATTCTACTATAGATTGACTATATTGTGGTTTGTGAAGAATTCCAGAAACATGAACAGAACCATGTCAAAAATACGAATGTTTAAATCGAGGTCCAAAAAAAAAAAAAAAAAAAATTTCAACAGGTACACTACAAATATCTATCAAATTCAGGGACTTTATTCATTAGTAATGAATAAGTGTAACACAAGTGTAACACATTTCTATACGTCCTGATTCTGTAAAAATACATGCATTTCCTTACTGCCTGGGGATTTGGCCAGTACAGCTGAACTGGCCAACAATCCTTCTCTCCTCCTCCAAGCACTTCCCTCCTCACATACACCAAGGCCCACAACAGACAGAAAACCGGGCCAGAAAGGGAACCTTTCACTCTGCTCCAGCTGCCAGGAAGGCCGGAGATGGGGAGCCCTGCACCTGCCAAGGTCCCCGTATGTGCCAGCTGCGAACCCCGGCAGTCGGGGCCACCCAAGAAACCAGGCCACGTACGTTAAGAGTACGTACAATTTGTCACTTCGGCATCTTATTTTGTGAGCCTGATACTCTGCCAGTAGTTAAGATGAAGAAAGAGTCCAGTTTAACTCTCCAGCATTTCAATCTAAGATGGTATTTACAAAACAGTAAATCTGAACTTCAGTACATATTTTTAATAAAAGATAGTTTAAAATCCAATCTTTTCCAAAGACTCGGGACTAACAATACAGTAGCAGGAATCACAGATGTTGTATTCTAACATAATGGGGGGAAAGAGGGGTCAAATTGTGATTATTTTATTTTTTAAACAAAATATTTTTACATACTTGCACCAAAGGCTAAAACAAGCTTCCCAGAAATAGCAGAGCCACACCAAAATAAGCCATACTAGTCTAAACATTTTAGAGAGCTCTGTTTATTTGCTAGCATATTGAACACAATTTATTTTAAACTTGCTCTCTCAAAACTGAGGATGAGATACATAAACTTTAATATGGTCTATATTAAAATAAAAACAGTAAGGAAGAAAACCAAACTTTCTTCGAAAGGTTATAAGATGTTCTTAAATGGTATCTACAGGCATTATCTACTGATGTTCTCTTACAGCATTTATTACTACCATATTTAAGTTTCTCTCTGATGTATTCTTTTCTCTGGGGAGCAGAGACTCAGCATGACTACCGGATTAGTCCAAATTTCTATGCTTTTAGTATGAGATGCACCTCAAACTATGAAAAGTGACAACCTGAATGTTCTAAGTGTTCAGTACTGAATGTTCAGATTTTTTAGGCAGACTTGGGTTAATTTTTATGCAAAGTTTTAGGCAAGTCAAATTTCACAATGCTCAGGCTGCACACTGTCTTGCTGGCTCTTACAGCAATAGCACTGAAACGGTTTAAAAGCAAGATCCCAAGACTACTCCAGTTTTGACATTTAGTAAAGTTGCAAGTAAGCATCAACTTCCATGGAATGCATCGTACACGAACTTTTGAAGTATGCTTTGCAATGGCAAAACTTAAGTATTAACTACTCCCAAGACATTACATCAAACACTGCTTGACAGTAATCAGCTGTTTGTAAACATGGTAATGCTATTTATAGCTATCCAATTCAATAAAGCCAAAATATGGCTAAAATGGCATGGATGCCTTATATACTGCTATAGCTACAGATAAACTAGGGCTCTAACAAACCTGCCATTTCAAATGCCCTGTTGTGCAAGATTACACAACTCCTGAACACAGGAAAGTCGTCAATTGTTTGTTGCAGTTTTCTTATTTCTGCAAATTATGCATTCCATGTAAAACTGCCCACTTACACCAAAATAAAGTATTTCCACATAAAACAAAAATATACTTGAAATTACAATACAGAAGTCAAAAAAACGTCTGCTCTGGAACCAGGCGAAATGAGCTGTCTACACATCACGTAGTTTTTTATTTGGGATTGGCACACCCACAAGATGTTTTGGGTTGACTTAAAAATCTCTCTCTAGATAAAACCATACAATTTGGTAGTTAAATGAAGTCATAAATTCTTAGAGATAATAAAAAAGAAAAATAAAAAAAAAGTTATTATAAACAGAACCACAATAGAACTGTATTATCTAGGGAACAGACTTCAACAAAACATAAGAAACTTTGCATACAGTTATGACAACACACTAGCAACTCCAAAGTAAATCCTAAGCCTAGAGAGTCACTTCTACAGCCTGGGGACAGAAACTGTTAAGGGACTGTTCCACAGCAATAGATTTCCAGTATCCCATCTGAACACTAAAAGCTAGGCAGAAAATAAGTCAGTTTGAGCACGTTAACATAGTCAATTAATGCAAAGGGGCTGCTGCAATAGAACTTCTTACCCTAGCCTTATTTTGTTCTGAGATACAACCCTACAAATGTTTGATTCCTTTTCCACAGAAATGCAAGCAAAAATTCCTTCAGACTCTTTTGCATTTGTGTAACTCCTCAAAGGTACAGAACATAAAACAAAAACCCAGTATACACAAAAGTTTAAGATTTTAACACAAAAAAACGTGACAACAAAATACTTCTCTAGAGAGGACTACCAAGTAATAGACGTAAAATCAGCCTTACCTTTTGGTTTACTTTCAGCTTCTGGTTTTACTACTTCTGATGAGTTTTCAGTTTTTGTTGTACTGGGAAAATGAACTAGCTTTGTTCCAGGGGGATGGTTAGGTGATGGCTACATGAACGAAAAAGAACTTTGTTAACAAAAATTCATTGAGTTTTACTTTTGATTAGGCTACAGCACATACTCAGGTTTTCACTAGCTGAGATGAGGCAAATGACCATCTCCAAGAGATTCAATGAGCTCTCCCATGAAGTAGCTACAATGAGTTAAGTACTTAATTACGGCCACTGCAATTAGAATTTTGTCTACTGAGTAAAGACACAGCACAGCTTTCAAACTCAGGACATTGCCAGGTATACTTTTGCAATCGTATTTCATCAGTTCCAAGTGTTATTGTTCCATTATCCTGAAAATTGCCTCCTCCAGCACAGAACAGAAGCAGTTATTTAACAGCTCTGCTGAAAGTAACTCACTGACCACGCTTACTTTGCACTGGAATAAAGCAGGAACATTCAAGTAGCCATACACCACCTCAGCAGAAGAGGCAAGCAGTTTTTAACTACTCTAAGGGCACATGAAAGCCCATCCCAGCTTCCCTTTACTCTTAGCGATTCATACAGAACAGAACCAGAACAGATAAGTGTCACTAGAGATTTCTCCTGAATCAAAAAACCAGAGGCATTGCAACTGGTAACAAGTTTCAGAGTAAATATCTAACCAAAATAATTGTTCCAGTATTTTTTTTCCGCCCCCCAGGAGACTTACTGAGCTGCCAGGAAGATTCAGACAGCTTCAGCTGCAGCCACTTCCCCACAGCCCTGCTGTGCACACATAGCTGCAAACATAGAATATGACCTTACAGTCAGTACTTACCTGAGCAGCCCTAATAGTGTTACTGACATGAAAAATCCCATTGCCTTTAGTTACTCTGTTCATTTTCATTTACAGTTAAACTTCGCAGACTTTCCACTGCCAGAGAAACTAGATTTACTTTTCCTTAAAACCAGATGATGCCCGTGGGATGGTGTTTGGTACCTCTGACATACCATAGAGGAAGCTACGGTCACTCAGGATGTTCTTGGAGTACATATGCAATTTAACTCACTCCAGAATGCTATATGAAGGAAGCACTAAAATAACCCACCTATGAGATTAAACAAGTCCATAGTTCTCTACATTTCCCCCTTCCAAAACGAGATGCAATTAGAAGTGCGAGGGGAAGCATAGGCAGACAGGGTATAAATAGCCTGAGCCCAGGCAGGATGCTGGGACCAGCTGAAACCTATCTACCTCCCTCCTGCGGGAGCATATACACTCTCAAGCACTTCAGATACATCAGTGCTCAGCCTTCCTGTGCTGAACCATCTCTGAATTCCCCAAGGGAAAAAAGCCCTCCCTCCTCTAGAATTTCCTGATGACAGCTTTTTTCTTTACTGGCTTAAACACTGAGAATGCCCTTCCAGCATCCTGCCATCTAACTCCAAAGTGAGTTGAGCACCAATCCAAAGCAGCCATGCATTTTTGCAAGACCTTCATGAGAATTATCTCCCTAGGGCTCTCCAGGTTGTGCTGCAAGTCTGTCTGCCTTTGGGATGACTTCAGCAACAAGCCTAAGTGGAATATTAAGTGCTAAACTCAACTGCTTATTTCATTGTCTTCAAGCTATGCAAAACTGTTTTCTCACTTCATTTCCCCTGCTGAGAAAAGGCCTACAACAACCTTCCAGTCAAGCCAACTAACAAAACAGAGCGCCAACATATTTTAGGGTTTATACACAGTCAAATAACACAATTCAAAATGTCTGAGCAGACTTCACATTAACTGAACATATTTTAGATAGGCTCTTTATACTCCCAAGTTACAGGGTACAAAGTAGGGAAACACACTTTTGAACGATAAATCTCATGACAAGAAAGCAAATTTAAAGCTATGTCCTAGTCTAACAGCATTCACACAAAGATGTAGCGATCCCACAGACTCCTACTTCAAGGGACAAAGCCTGGAGAGAACCAAGGAAAAACAAAGTGCCTTCATACAATCATAGAATGGTTTGGGTTGGAAGGGACCTCTAATGATCATCTAGTCTAACCCTCCTGCCACTGGCAGGGACATCTTTCACTAAGATCAGGTTGCTCAAAACCCCATCCAACCTGACCCTGAACACTTTCAATGATGGGGGATCCACAGCTTCTCTGGGCAACCTGTTCCAGTGTCTCACCACCCTCATAATAATAATTGGACATAATTCCTTATGTTCAATCTAAATTTACCCTCTTTTAGTTTAAAACCATTGCCCTTTGTCCTGTCACTACAGACCTCAGTAAAAAGTCTCTCTCCATCTTTCTTATAAGCCCCCTTTATATACTGAAAGGATGCAATAAGGTTGCCCCAGAGCCTTCTCTTCTCCAAGCTGAACAACATCTTCCTTAGGAGATAACATTCCCCGAGCCTTAAAAAGAAGGCAACACTCTTAACTTTCATTTTCTGAATCATCTGATGTTTTTACTGGACCAGAAACAAAGAGGACACGCACCATGTCTACAGGTGGATGAGCACTGCTCTTAGCACTGCCACAGAGGGAAAACACATTCAAGGAAGACTCTGTCCCTACCCTCTTCCCGGGGACTCACCCCACCTTTTGCCCTACACCGTTACAATTATTTCCATAGCAGCAGAGGAGAGCAAATCAATCAGCAAACAGCATTAATGACCATAACCCACAGACAAAAAATTGAAATTGGACAAAGGTTTTAAAAGCTTTCTTGAATTGATCACCTGAGTAAAAACTGAAACACTGGATTATCTCAGCTGCCTTTAATTTATCAAAAGCTGAAAATCCATACATAAGCTCTTGGTATAAACAATGCGTAAGTTCAAGATAAAGTACTGAGCATCGCTGTTGTGCTTCCAAGGGATAAGAGAGCTCTCAGGTTCAGATCAAAATAAAACTCAAACTAAAGCAATTTTGCTACCATCACATTATTTGCTCTCTCCTCAGCTTTAAGTTCGATATAGAGAATAAAAGTGCTCCTTTTCCCACTCATAAAAAAGGGGGAAAATAAAATGAAAGAAGATGCAAAATTGTAGAACAGTATTTTTCAGGCTTATTAGCAGTTTATGCAGCTCATTAACCTAAGACATCACCAAAGCCAAAAGCTTGGCAGCATTCACTGAAGGACATTTACATTGATAATGACGGCTGACACCTAGAACAGCAATCTCAACATCCACCAAAACTTGGAAAAAACCCCAAACCAAAAACTAAAGAAACGCCAAAATATTCCTTGTTTTAAAGGTCAAGTTTAACTTGTACAGGAAGACTTAACAGTCTTGTCCCAGATTGTATACAGAGTCTGTTACAAAGACAACTACAAGAGACCTTGTACTGTAGATGTATTTGAGAAGTTATTATGTCTTACACCACATGGCTGTGAAACGACAATTTTTATAATCAGTTTGGTTTTCCCTCTCCAACGTTTTAAATACCAAGACATTTGAATAGACCTTTTGGAATCAATGTTAAATATAACTTACTATGAAAGAGGTTTGAGGGGGTTTGTTTTGTTTTATAGGCAAGAGCCCTATGAGATGATTATGGTCTGATTACAGAACAATATTGACAAATTTTAAAATAGCCAGTGTATTCAGCATCTGTAAGATCTTCAGACTCCATGTCTTTTAAATTATTTTTACAGGAAACCCAAAAATAACAATATGAACTGCTACGAACCTTATCTTGCTTTTTATCTTCTGATTCATTACTGGATAATCTTGTCTTAAGTTTCACTGAGCCTTCTTTAAAGATATCTCCAAACCCAATACCTCGGATTTTCTTTGGCTGTGCTGGTCCAGATCCAGGTTCACTCCCATTTCCTGAAGAGACCACAGGTGAGGTAGGACCACTGAAAACAGACTCTGAAATTAAAAAAAGAAAGAAAAAGTTGTTTTAATATCTGAAATTATTTATTTGCTCTTCTGGGAAATAAAAGTGGAAGTAACACAGCTGTGTGCACTGCTCTTGCTAAACAGCTTTTCTAGGAACATTAATGTAGCTGTAATACCTCACATTTGTTCTAGTTGTGTATTTAACATAAGAACATTTGAAATGACACCAGTATTGCATTGAATATTCTGGCAACTAGGTCATTCGCTCACTAATATTTCTTGCTATTTCAAATATCACTCAGGCTCCACAGTCTGTTAACGTCAATGTTATGCTTTCCATTAGTTTTATGAAACATTGCTTATGCATTCTCTGAAGATGTGTTTTTAGTCCAACATTTAAAAGCTTGTCATTTGCACAGCTATAGCTGCTGAAAGCGAAAAATCAATAAAGGTCCATAATGAGTCCTACTATGTTTCAACAGCCACAGGAAAAAACAGTGTTTCAGTAATAGAGTGATGCCTCTCAAGGCACCAAAGTGAAATTTTCCTATTGCTCAAAATGCACTATCCAAAATACCTGAAAAGAGTTTCTTGCAAATTTATTTAAATAGCTTTTTAGCCTGATAACACTTACAACCTATTTTAAATGAGTTAAACATTCAAATCAAATAGAGTTGTTTGAGATTAATCACTGGTAGATAACAAGTATTTAAGATTCTTTTAATCTTTCAGTTTTAAGGGACAACATTTATCCACCCCCCAAAAATGTAGTTCAGAGATGATCTTAATTCAGGTGTTAGGAGCTTTTAAGACTTGGTTTTTTTTGGTTGAGTTGGGTTTGTTTTTGTGTTTTTTTTGTAATTTTTAAGTTGCAGTCAAATCTGTTAAAACCTACAAACTAGTATGCATGAGCAAACTATCTTCACGTGCAGAATTCCAGGAGATAGTCATGTGAAAATAGACAGCTTTTATAAACCAAATTGAAAATATCCTCCACATCTTTTAGCCTTTCAGTTAAGTTCTTCCCAGTGTATGCATGCCTGGGAATTGCAATAAAGATGAAAGCCTTTTCCCTCAACCATAAATTTAAGGGGTTTTGATAATACCATGAAGTTACATAGCCTCTTGACTTCAACTTCTTACCTTGCCTCAACCGAGTTACTCTTCACTTAGTTATATCCCCTCCTAAATATCTAAAAGCATAGCTAGAAATTTCATTGATGAGAAAAGTTCAGGTAGCACATTTGAAAGACCATAGCTCAGTGAATGGGGCATTTACTGTTTCCTGGGAGTGAGGAAAGAACTAGTAGATATTTGAGATCCTGACTGTGAAAATACTGAGCATTAAATATAACCCCTAGGGGTATGAGGGGCTGAAAATCATAACTTATTAGTTACTGACAGAAAATACAATTACTTCAAATTACTGTTCAGTCCCACTGATCTCAGTATTCAAGAATTAAGACCAACACATACCCATTTGTAAATTCATCTTACCAGACCCTACTAAACTTAGTGAACTTGACCTCCAGGGAGACAGCCACTGAGCTATTTGAGACTGCTCAAGTCAAACAACTCTTGTTTTACACTACTGTAATTATTTCCACAATTTACAAAAAAAAAATCTAAGCCAGACTTTTCTTTCCTATCTCTGAGCCAACCCTTGTTAGAAACAATCAATACAGAACATCTTGTAAACGAGAGTACGCATTACTACGAGGGGAGGGGTGGGAATCACTTTTTCCCTTGAACACAGCTGTCTTTAAGCATCGATTAACTCACATTAAGACATTGTTCCCAAAGAACATTCCCATTCCAGTAGTATCATATCACAAGTCCCCAGTCTTCAAACAGGTCTTCATAGACAGAACACCTCTAAAATGCAGTTTCAAGGGAACAAAGTAATTGCCTGTAAAGCACGCACCTGCCTGGCACCACTCAGCACTCAACTACTGTTCAGCCACAGACCGTCTGCTTCTGCCCGAGCTACACAGTCATAGCCACAAAGTAATGGCTAAATGTACATACTGCCTTAAAAACATTTTACGCTAGATTAAAACATAATAAAGAACAAGGGCCCACCTCCCAGGATTCATTTTAAGTTCAGGCTCTTGATACTGTTTTGATTCAATTCAAATTTTAATTCTCAACTGACATGGTTAAATGCTTAAGTTTTCCATGTTAGAGAACTCATGTCTGTGAGAACAAGAGTGAAAAAAGCTATAAACAGAAGAATAATTTTATATCAAATATTAAAAAAAGCTCAACTCTGAATATGACAAAATTTCTAGTGATAAAATGCAGAATATACCTTTGCAAGATCAAGACCTTGATTGCGATTTTATTAGAAGTGTATCGAGAGCAAGACACTTCATACTCAGCATCAATTTTTTCTAGAATAAAATTAAATACTTTCCATTCTTCGGAAGCTTGAATTCTTTACAATTTTTGTTGTACTACAACCATAATACTCCAAATTATACCTGAGATCTAAAATGACTTTGCTAAGGATTTACAACAAACAGAATACCACCTGTGTCATCCAGAGTGTCCTGTGTTTCTCCATCATCCGTCAATTCCAATTCTTTCACGAAGTTTGAAGGAAACAACCCTGCCTTGCCATTCAGTGTTCCATTCCACCAGCCTTCTTCTACCTGTATAAAAATATTTTGCATGTTACTAATAAAGCAAAAGGAAATTCCTATCAATTCCATCCATACTTCACTTAAAAAACTCTACAAACAACTTTGGGAAAGTTCAAATGACCATGATTTCTTTTTAAAGAAACCTACCAAACATGTGGAAACAGTAGGCAAAAAGAAGAGCAAGAAAATAATTTACTGTTAATTCTATCACTACAGCAATGATCCTGAAACATGAGACTAGCCCCATGCCAATTAATCCAGAAGAGCAGCAAAATGTTCATTAACTTCCTCAAGGTAAGACAGAATAACAGGCATTACACATCTAACAGAAGAAGAAAATACTAAACTGTTTATGAAATAAAGATGCAACTTTTAGCCTGGCTTTCTAAGGAAATTTTTATGTATTCTTGCTGTCCATCTGTCTTTTCCTCTGTCTTGTCCAGTTTCCACCAGTCCTATTCCCACTGGCCGCGTATCCATTGAACAGCTTCAAACAATTTTCATCAAAAGACACAAGTTTCAAAGATATAACTTCTACAGATGATGTTGGGTAGAACAGAGAACAAGTCCTTAAGGACATCACAGAGTAATGGAAAACTAAGCTGTCCATTTCTTCTAGCAGGAGGCAACTGCCTGAACATACGCCTAGCTCTAGATGTGTCAGAAGGTAGAGATACTTTCCCATCAGAGCTGGCCAGCCGACGAAGGTAGCCGAGACGCACGAGGATTTTGTGGTGGCACACAGCAGTCCTAAGGATAGAAGTCTGTTGGATGCCAAATTTTGTTGGCTTGGCTATTCACAAAACAACTCATATTTGCACCGGAAATAAACCTGTTCAGGAATTAGGGAACATAATGACTCTAACGCTCAGTTATGTGCTTGGATTCCTGGTGTGTCATTTACACTGAGATACTCCAAAATTTAGTGGAACATTTATCAGGAATACCCCACAGTCCAAAGCAGAACAAGCAAAAGCTGGGCATGCACAGGTGACGGTGTAAAACAATGCCAGAAGACTGAGTAAGAATTGTCCTCTTCAAATTTATGAGCAGTTTTCAAAATGCCTTAAATAAATCGAATGTATTTGCCTAATGAGTACTATTTAAAAACTGTAATTAAGATAAATTTTGAAAATATTTCATTTCCGTTGCTCTGTTTTGGGGCTGGAAAGCTGTTTTTAGATAAGAAAGAAAAGCAACAGGGAAAAACAAAACAAAATAAAACAAACCAGCCGTTGTTTACATTATCTTTTTTTAGCCTTGTTTTGTAGGTCACTACGCCTGACACACACAGGAATAGTTTTTAAACGCTAGTCTACCTCCAGGCAAGCGGAATGCATGCGAAACCTGGCAGCTAGAGAGACAGACAAGCAATGAAGAGAGCATTGTTATTTTGAGAGACATCCTGGTGCTCAAACATAGCTTTGCTGTGGATGGGTTAAATTCAGAGTCTGGTCCTCTGAAACAAATGTTAAGCATAGATTACTGACAAGGGCTGACCAGGCTCCAGCGCCTTGTGCTTTACATAATACAGTACAGAAAACTAAAATTCAAATGCCTTGACTCACCCATACTACACCCAAGAGGCATGAGAAAGGGATTTCTAATGCTTACGATACAGAAAGCGACTTGAGCATCCATTTATTCTTCTGCCAAGAAGTAAGGTCAGCAAAGCACTTTACAGACTTGCAAGGCAAAGCAATGCCAGTTCAGAGACAGCAGGAA